TCTATCACCTCATTAATGCTATTTGTCTGTTGAAAAAATATTCCAGTAACAACTGTAGGTATAATAATTATTACATATGTTCCTCTCTGAAAAAACAATAACGTCATTATTTCAGAATCACTGCTGAACACAGGGTAATGTGTAGACAAACAATGGACATTCATTGAATGTGAAATGAAACACCACTGGTGGATAGGAGTGTTGTCAGCACTAACCTTACTCTCATAAGCAGTGCAGAAAGGTCACAATCACCCAAATCTTTAATGAGCTGCAGAAAACTGTAAGTTTATTGAAGAGAAATTCAACTACTCAGATACGAAAAGCTTGAGGAATTAAAACTTTATCATGGTCACGTGCTTACTAACCTTAGTAATATAAACATCTCTTGAGCCTTTGTCGTGCATCTTGTGAACTTCTTTTTATTGCTTTGCGGTGTTGGTGCATTTTTTTTGTTGTAAGACGAACCATCATGGGTCCTGTTGAGAAATGGTGTACCAGATAAGTTTGTTTAAATATAGGGAATACTTAGCTGATAAAAGACAGCAAATCGTCTACACAGCCGCTCCTGCAGATGAGGTCTTGAGTAGCTGTCTTGATCATTTTTCAATGGGCTGAAATGAATTATATTTTGTAAGATTATAAATTACCCATAGGGGGTGTTATGTCAGCATATTTCATTCACTGATTGCTGACAAACTTGTGTAGACTCAAAAGTTCGCTTATCACCAGGGTTTATGATAAGTGACTAACTCGTAACTTCAACTCAACTACGCAGTCAATAGTAGTACATCATGAGTTAGAACACTTACCTGGGTATATGTATCTGACCCATAGTTACACCCGGATATCCGATGAGTTGATTGAAGAATAGTGTTCTTTGAAGAATGTCGCACTACACTCCGTTGGATCGCAACACTCGTTGTTACACTGTTCATCAATAATTCCTCACACAATATCAATAAGAAGTTGATCACACTTCTCTGTAAGTGTTTATCGTGTTTTGCGAGACACTTTGTTCACACTAACGCATGGATCAGTGTTCTTTGTTGGTTATGCTGGCGTCAGTGTGACTCTCAGTAGAGTCAAAAGTAATCTGCCTCACAGCACCCTACACCGTCACTGCCCCTAGAACATAAAGGAAAAGCTGACCTAGTACTTTTTCTTCCTTGCCACTTCCTCCATGAAGCAAAGCAGAATGCTTGATTCTTGCTGTCTTAAGCATAGACAACAATGTACACTATCTTTACCATGGTAATAAAGTGGGAGTAGGATTTTCCTTAATTGTCCTGCTAAGGTAAGAGATGGCCTGTCTTTTATTAAATTACACTTTGCAGCACTGGAGTCTTGCAAGGAGCGTCGGTCGCTTGACCATGTCGCATACTCGTACTGCATCTGGGATCAATTACTTGTTGTAGCAGTAAACAAGATGCTTGCCCCTTCTGAGAAGGCTGGGCCCCTCAGGGCTGAAAGGGGCCGAAAGAAGCCGAAGGGGGCCGAAAGGGGCCGAAGGGGGCTGAAGGGGGCTGATACCCCCCTCCTGGAGAAAATTTCTCCACACTGGAGGGCGGTGGAGGTTCGTTGTAGGTGAACTATTCATCACTTGACGTTAATTTGATTTTCTCACTCGCCACCATTGCTGCTTGCCTTTTCTGAACAGCTTTAGTCTGTGTTGTTTCCGGAGAATCGCTGATTTTATTTTTAACACTGTAATTCTAACCGCACTAGTTTATTCGTTGTCCGCCTATTCACTACACATTTGCTTAAAACATCAACTGTCCTGATGATTCCATTTGCATCAGGATATATGGTCACAATTTTTCCAAGTGGCTATTGGGACCGCGGACCATCATTGTCAATAATCACTATGTCACCAGGTCTTAAGGACTTAGGATTTTCAGGAACACCAGCTCCATAGAAGTGTTCTCTCAATGAGGTGAGATAGTCTTCTCGCCAAATTTTCTCCCAACGTTCAATCACTTTATTAAGGTGTTTGAATTTACGTCTGAGTTGCTCAGGTTCGAAATAAGAAGGATCCTCTATGATTTCTTTATCATTCATGGGAGGAGCAGGTTCGAGCCTTCTGCCATGGAGTAAATGAGATTTAACACTTCAAAATTGTCCAGATCATCGGTAACATAGGTTAGAGGTCTGTTGTTGGCTCTATTTTCTATTTCAGTCACGACTGTACGTAATTCTTCAAAGTCTATTCTCTGACGATGAAGAGTCTTCCATAAACAACGTTTCACAATGCCGATCTTTCTTTCATAAAATCCGCCGCGCCATGGAGATTTAGGAGGAATGTATCTCCAACGACAACTGCGTTGATCCAGCATCTGTTGTACTTCTGGTTGATCAGAGACCTTGCTTATATAAGCAGCACCAGCAACAAAGTTCGTTGCATTGTCTGAAATCATCAGTCTGGGACATGCCCTTCTGGCTGCAAATCTTCTGAATAATTTGATAAAGGTTTCAGCAGACATGTCAGTGGCTACTTCTAGATGTACTGCTCTAGTCGTAGCACAAGTGAACAAACAGATGTACACCTTAATGGGAACTTTGTCAACTGTTTTGGTTAAAATTATTGGTCCAGTGTAATCTACACCTGTCACCTCAAATGGAGTGATATGACAAACTCTTTCAGAGGGATATGGAGGTAGACCTGGATACTGACATACTCGCATATCATAGTGACACTTTGTCGACCTTGAGGTATCCAGTAAGATTGTCGTATATGACAAAGTGCGTCAGGTAGCCCACCATGTAACACGTTACTGTGGGCGTTTTGAGCAATCAATTTTGTTAGCCAATGATTCTTGGGGATCAATATTGGATGTATGGCTTCTTTAGGTAGTGAAGGATTATGAATTCTTCCTCGACATCTTTTTTGAGTCGAGTTAAAGTCCTAAAGAATTAATCATGACAGGTTTCTTTGGGGATTTATCTTGTGTTTCCAGAAATTTATATTCTGTAGAGAAAATATCTTTCTGTATTAGTTTCACCCAGTATTTAATGGGTTCAAGACATTCATAATTAGGTTTTATTCCTTTAATGAATTTAAAGACAAGAGCTGTAACTCTTAAGAGTTTACCCAAAGGTGAGTATTTAGATCCATCAGTGACTATTTCTGTTGTGTCTGCAGTATTTACACAACTTATTTTTGCTGTGTTCAAGCAGACTGTTTCTTCTGGCATAATGTGAGCTTTTTGCTGAGGCCAGTTATTTTCATTATATATCTATATATATATGTGTGTATATATTATGTATATATATATAATTTTATATATATATATATATT